TGTTTCACCCTGCAGCAATGTTTTATATTGAATGCTAGCATAAGCATCATGTCTATTTCTGCCTGATTTTAGTTTAATTTTTTAGATTTAATTTAATAATTAATTAATTGATTTAATATTCTTAAATCAATTAAAAATTGATTTAAGATTTTTAACAAATATACCATCATGTCTGATTCCTGATTGGCTACTGATTGCAATAGATGAACCAAACTTTTAATTAAAAAAGTATAGGTAAATTTGTTTATATAGATACTTATTTAAAGACGAGTGGTTAATGACATACGCAATGGTGAGGGCCACGCGGCCCTCACCCGCTACCGCCGCCGCGACCCTCCCCCCCTTATGTGTACTTTGTGTAGATTATATGTGTACTTTGTATAGATAATGTATGTATAAACCCTCCTAATAGTCGACACTATTGCGTATGTGTACTTTGTGTACTGTGTGTGCTGTGTACTTTGTGTGCTGTGTACTTTGTGTGCACCACCGGCCAGATGACAAACACCACCGGCCAGATCTTAGAGATCTTCCGGTCCTCAAATATCACATGGAAGAATTATCATACATTTTAAACGTTTTTCTTAGCTTAGCTTCGCGTTTGTTTGTTTGTTTGTTTGTTTGTTTATTTGTTTGTTTGTTTGTTTGTTGTTAACATTGACAACTAAACGTTGTTTTTTAAAAAGTTTTTTTTAAGTATTTTATTCTTAACTTAGCTTCGCGTTTGTTTGTTGTTAACATTGACAACGAAAATTAGCCCACTTCTGATTGCTCTAGAGGTCTGAAATTCGGCATGCAGGCTATTTTCGCATAACAATTTCAGATACAATCATAAAAACTAGCAATTAGAGACCTAAATTAGTTTAATTGAGTATAGTATATATATAGTATAAATATAGTATGACGTGCGGGCGCAGACGTTATAGACGAGCATGCGCTGACGCTGCGTATCATCGATACGCATCGAACTTTTTAAAAACCACGTTTTTCATGTGTAGCAACGGACTACAAAGGAGAAAATAAAATACTTAAAAAACTTTTTAAAAAAACACGTTTTTTTTGGACTAAAAAGTAGAAAATAAATTATGGCTCGCCCCAAAAAACGTGGGTCAGACTGTACCTTCACCATCAAATTTCCAAAATTCGTGTGTTGTGTGCTTTTCGCTTTAATCATAAATCTGCCCGACACACGTTTTTTGGGGCGAACCATAATTTATTTTCTACTTTTTAGTCCAAAAGAAAAACGTGTTTTTTAAAAAAGTTTTTTTTTAAGTATTTTATTATAATTTTTAGGTTCATATAACACAAGGAAAAGTATAACATTTATTGCATTAAATAAACATGGACGCAAACTTAAATTTAATACGCCCACCTAAATTTTGACTTGGTGGTTGCATGCCTGGCGAGCTGTAAACATGCGGTCTGTACATATCGCATCCAAGATACCTACTGCCTTACCACAAAGTAATGAACCTCGTACCAGACTGTGTGCTGTATTTATATACCGTTTTATTGGCGCACGCTCAATTTTCCTTTGTTGCTGTGAGAAGAAAAACAACTTTCATGTGTTAACGGAACAAAAATGTTTCGGCTTCTTTCCTTCAAAATATAATTTAAAACTATACATATTTATTAATAAATAGGAGTTCTTCCAAGAGATATAAATAAAGCATCCCAACTTCAATATTTTCTAATAGGACACAAAGCTGCATGTTGAGCTCCAACCAATTCAGCCGATTGAAGTCGCTTGAAATTTGACTCAAGTTATTTTCCGAATCAAGATGTGTATGGTAAGTTCGTCTGAATGATGATAAATTATGTAAAGATTTGCATACGAATTACCTGCAGCAAAACATGCTCATTTCTAAGTTTAAATGCACTGATGGCGGTTATTTTCCATTGACAGCTTTGATCAGGAGAAGGTGGTCTATGCTTCTTCTTCAAACGTTCTCTGATCGCTAGGATTAAAGTGATCCATCAAGATCAAAGATTGCAGAAAAAAAACGTAGAAACGAGCATAAAATGCGTAATTTTTTAGGGGCCGATATTTTCAGTAGCAAATTAAAAGTTTTATAGCAGAGAAATTGTAAATTGGTTCGTTTCTAGAATAGTTCATAGTTCACAGTTAAATTTCAGAACATTTTTTAAACTATATAACTTCTATTTACTGATAAAAATATTATCCCAATGAAAGACTAATTTATGGAAGCTTTGGTTCAACTAATAAAACTTCGAGTGTCCTTCGCCGAAAGTCCGCGAAATATGCTCTATAAGCTTTACTGTCGAAGGTTTATAAGTCAGAAATACGAGTGTTTTAGTAATCGTTTTACCGACAAATATAATTCGAAGTCAGAGCAATATGCTTTATCAATCTTTATTCCGTTAAGAGATAAAATTCTAGGTCTAGGCAACATGCTTTATGAATCTTAATTCAGTTAAAAGATAAAGTTTCAAGTCAGAGCAAAATGCTTTATAAATCTTTATTCCGTTAAAACTTAAAGTTTTAAGTGAGAGCAATATGGTTTATAAATCTTTAGTCCGTTAAAACTTAAAGTTTTAACGGAATAAAGTCATTGCTATCTAAGTCATAGCAATTTGGTTTAGCAAGCTTTCTTGGTCATCGTCCAGAAATTGGCCCGTCACTCAGTTGTGGCCTCTAGCCTAAAATATTTCGCAGAATATCGCTAGCTTTCCAATGACCATGAGTGGCCTGAACTCTCAGCCTTAAATTCGAGTTTCGTCCTATATATAAATATGTCTATTCCGACGCAGAGTTAATGCAAAATACGCCATTTCCTATTCAGCAATTCAATTACTGTAAAAGAACTGCTCTACCTGATCTTCCTTCTGCATATCTGACACTATTCCCATTTAATGCATTTAAAATGAAATTCCCGTGCACTTGTGAAGTAGAAATCGATCCTCAATTAGCCTGTGAAGAGATTTTGTTAAATTATTGTGGTGATTGCCCCGAAATTATTCGCTGCCGTGTTCTGAAAAGCGTCGCTAGACGCAAACCAATAACACTTGAGCTGCCAGGAGACTTCGTTAAAGGCTCTCATGCACCGGAACTCCAACGCCGGCCAATTCATAAGCATTTATCAAATTAATTTAATGGCATTTCAACCAATTAATACACTGCCATTGACGGGTGTAGACCTGTGCCTCTGACACGTGTGCTTCAAATTCGAGACACAGTATAATTCTATTTAATATTTTTCATATTTACAAATATATGGCAGATGTGAACGAAGAATTAACATTAGATCAACTCGTAATACCGATAAAATAATAACTTGTTCATAGACATAACACGAGACTTCTCTTATTTGTCAGGCTTGCTTGCTATTGAGCTCTCTGCTGTCACCTGCAGAGACGGCGCATGGATTGGTAGAATGCGTTCCTTATGTATATTGGATTGCCGATCCAGAAAATTATATAGCTTCTTAATTCAGGAAATTTTTCGTGAAAATTTTTATGCATGATATGAAATTGATGATCACATGAATGTTACTTTCAGTGCAAGATATTTGAGCTAAGTAATTATATTATTATTATTATTTTTTTATTATTATTGTTATGATTGTTATTATTATTATTATTATTAATTATCATTACTTTTGATTTTTTATTATTATCATAATTATTATTATTATTTATTTTAATGATTAATTTAATAATTCTTTACTTGCCATCATGTTACGACGCAGCAGGGTGCGGGTTGCGAACAAATGCCCCAACATCGCAAGGCTCCACGTGTCACAGACCCAAGCCATACGAACCTCCCTGGTCAATATTGACCAGCTATAACTACACACGCGTCGCTCAGGCGCCCACAGTGCTGAGTTTTTCCTCCAGCTGTACGCCAATAACGTTCCATTGTCAGGATTTTCCGAGCGTATTTTTCCCGACGAGAGAAAGAAAGCGTAGGAAGTATCGACGATGCCATTTAATGCGACGCTGACCTAGCTGCCATTTACTGCGACGGCGAACTCAAGGCTATTTAATGCGACGCTGACCTCGCGGCCATTTAATGCGACGCTGACCTCGCGGCCATTTAATGCGACGCTGACCTCGCGGCCATTTAATGCGACGCTGACCTCAAGGTCATCTACTGCGACGGTGAACTCGAGACAATTTAATGTAACGGTGACCTCGCGGACATTTGATGCGACGATCTGAGCACGTCAAAACCTTACTTCTTTCATTCATTAATCTGCAAAGGACCCAACAACACCAGGTGTTCTGGCGGTCCCCACAATATATGATCACCAAGTCAGGTTCTCAATAATGCCAAGATGATAAATCCTCGCAAATACATGCAGCCATGGTGGGCAGTGTCTGTGCTACGTACGCCGAGCATGAGCCATACGCAGCTGCGTCCGGCTGCATGCCCAGTGCCCGGCCACGGCCAGTGCCCGGCCACGGCCAGTGCCCGGCCACGGCCAGTGCCCGGCCACGGCCAGTGCCCTATCTTTATATTAAGTCTTAATTGTTAATCTAATGAGATTAAAAGGCACCGTCCTTTATACGAGCTTTTTCTGCAAGGCCGGTGACAGAGAAATTAAAATTTCCACGCAAAATAAAATTACCAGATGCCGTACGCCAGGAAACAATGCCCCTATACTTAAATAAACTTGAACCAGTTTTATGATCCTTTATTGCTTCAAAGGAAATCAAAGTCTTTAGTAAATTCAGTGTCTCCCTAATTAATTTCTATTTTTATCGATGACCCAAAAATAGCTTTTGGGAATATACAGATTAATAGTTTCGCATTTGAATAAATCTTAATTTCGGTAACATGGTCAGTTCAGCAACAAATTTTGATTAGAAAATTTATTTATTATCAGATTTCTAAGAAATTTATGTGTAAGAAGTTCGGTGAATGATTGTATGAAAACTGTACGTTGTATTTTTCTCTTAATTATTGTTTTTCAGAAATTATAATGATTTGTGTGTGCATTTGACGGAATGAAAATATGAAATTGAAATTAATTGAATACATTCACGACATCTGAAATTTTACAAAAACTTCACCTGTCGTTTCTCTCGGGAGCTGAAGTTTTTTTCCGTAGGTTTTTGAAACGAAGTGATTGCAATGAGTTCCTTGTTTCTGAAATGTGAGCAAAACAAGCACCACGTCTCTTCTGGAGCTGCAGAACAGTTTACTTCTCATGAACAGTCATAATGTCTCTGCATTGACGAGAACAGTGATAGCATCTCTCCAGTGACATGAACAACGATAATGTTTACATAATGATGATGAACGCTAGAATTATTAAAAACATTAAGGAATGTGTTCACTATGTCAAGGTAGATATTTTTATTATTGGCTATAATTTTACATAATTTTTTCTCAATGTTTTCATCACTTGGAAATTAATTCTCTCATTGAACGATTCCATTGAATAAAAAAGTTTTCTATGATTTATTTAGGGTAATTTATAAGAGCATCAATGTTTCGTTGGAAAAAGATACTAAATAATATCCATGTCATCCGTCAACCGCTTTAAACCATGAAGTTTAAAAACAAGTTGCGATACCAACGCAAGATGACCGAAGGCCTGTTCTTTGCTTTAAGTTTAGTGGGCGGTTGTCTTGCCAGCTACAAAGAGGTAGGAGGAACACAACTCATGAACTCGACCGCGCCACCACAAGTTGATCTTACGAACATCACGTCATCCTTGAACTCGGATGTTGAGTACCTCGGGCAGATCGCTTACAACGTCGTGGCTCCCATCATAATCATCTTCGGCCTGCTGAGTAACATCATCAACCTGCTGGTGCTCAGCCGACCTACCCTGCGTGGACCAACCTTCCGGTGAGAGGGAAACGTTCGCGTCAGAATACCATCTGAACACCCAATCGCTTTTGCGCTAGTAAATCAATCCAGGGTAGCATACAACTTTTGCACCATTGACTGCATGAATGATTTAATTGTATTAGGAGAAAGCAATGCTATAGGATATTTATAATACGATTTTGAATATATGCAGGCATTAAACATTTGACCAATTCCGTATAGTCATATTACAAGAATTAATATATTGTGGCCAAGCATGATAATTCGAGAAAATCATTATAGTTTACTAACATTAGGAAGTGTAAAAAACTCTTAACCCTGCCTGACCAACTCCCACCTGACTCAATGTTTGACACCTCATTTCCGTTGATACCTCAATGATGGTCAAATATATTAAGATTATGTGTCAGAGTTTTGTGCAATAATTTCCTTCAGTTAGTTTTTTACTCTTTTATAGTTTTCTTTCTTTTCACAATTCATTTTTGATGTATTTGTGACATGACGTAGATTTTCCCTTCATCTTCTACATGAGGCATTAACGGCGCATTTCAACATGTTAATGTAGAAATAACCAATATGCATAAAAGTTTACAATTTGGACGTTATCACTGTTTAAATCTCGTAGCTTAACTGTTTAATTCGAACTAATTTCATTTACCACATCGAAATTATTTAATGGAACTTTTTTATTTAAAACCACGCGGGTGTAAATTTAATGAATTGCCATAGCTGGATGAAGCGTTTTGCTGAGACTGTCTTCCCGTATGGCCTTGCATGCGCTGTTTGAAGCAGTTCTAATTCAATGAACTTTAGACTTGAAGTAATTAAACTTTTGGCATTCGTTTTTAAAGTTATGACATCTGAAGGAGAGGAAACTTGCGCATAGAAATATATCAATCTAAATGTTCATTCTGTGCGTCTCCGGGGACATATGAACTGTCCTTGCATTTTATGAACTCGCTTTACTATTGCACGAAACTTTGCTACGTTCGCAATAAGACAATTGTTTTAGCAAACGTTTTGTTTTAGTAAAATTATAAATGTCTTATAGGATTTTGAACTGACGATGGAGCTGGACTCCGAAACGTTTTCTTTTATAAAGAAATGGTAAATTTTCCGGTTATTTCCTTTGCCTTCAAATTTTTACTGAAGATTTATTCTCATCTTTATTTAGAAATTATTTTATTCTTCTTCAGAAAAATTAAAACATTTTTCGATTCCAATTTGTGATTAATAGTTATTATTGATTGCCACATGACTATACAAAAAATTTAAGATGATTGAATATTTCATCACCGGGATTAAAATTTAAGTTATATAGAAAATTAATTGATTCTCCAAAGATCGTTAAATCAATAGCTACACGTTTTTATTTGCGTTGTTCGCAATGAAGTAGCACGTATATCATGAAGTACGCAAGTCCTACATCAAAATTACGTATTTGTCGTCAAAACTTGTTGTGCAACCAAATAATAAAACGCATTTTGCACCAAAATAATAAACTTTTTTTGTGAATTACACACAGAAAACTTGTTTGCTGCATTCCACGACGTTTATTGCCATGCCGACAGATACCTCAAGTGGCTGGCGGTGGCGAACCTGTTGGTGTGCGCCATACTTCTGCCCTTCGCCTTCCACTCCCACGACACTCCAGTGCCATACATGGCTGCCTTCTACCTCGCACATGTAGAGGTAGGTGGTAGACTGGCATCTACATGGCTGCCTTCTACCTCGCGCATGTAGAGGTAGGTGGTAGACCTGTCTCTTATACACATCTAGATGTGTATAAGAGACAGCTTCTACCTTGCGCATGTAGAGGTAGGTGGTAGACTGGCAGTCAGTAGTTGAGCACTGCGGTCAGTATATGTGTGTTATTAACTGTGGATGTTAAGAACTGTCACCTGTCACCAATCCTTTGCAAACAACTCGTAATATTTGTGAATCACATCGAATTGTTATTTTATAATACGAATAAAATATAAAGAACCGCAATGTAGGATTTATTAGTAAGTTTAATTCAGCGAAAACATTTTCCTTCGTTGAAAATGACAACTGAGGTATTGGCTCAGAAGCAGCGGGATGTTTCCCTCACATATTCCCTCTTACTGCACAGCTTTTCATCATATGTTCAGTCTTAAAATGCCTAGCAAATTACGAACCAGGCAATAAGTCCAGCAGCTATCTCAATCAATCGTCAGTTATGGAAAGATCGGGTTCCAAAGGCCGGATCCCTTGTGAATCAAGTCACGAAAAGTTCAAGAATCGGCAACAGGCCATGGGTCTATTTCTTCAGTGCCGACACTTCTATTCTATTCAATTCTATTTGCAACTGCCACAACTCGAGGAGGCTCAAGTTAGGAGATCGCAGTAATTAAACCAGAACTTGCAGGCTGCATAAGAACTTTCGTGCAGTGCCCAGTCTATACATATAAACCCCCACCTCATTCGATCAGAGAAGATCTAAGGAGAGTACCGCGTCAAACTATTCAATGGAAAACATTAATTACGAAGTTAGGTCGCTTTTTGAAGCAAGTGCTTTGTTTTACTTTGTCGCACTCTGCTTAACTATGTCCTGTTTTTAGAGATCATGTTCTTGAAAAATGGCCATTTCCAACGTGATATTCTTCGATCTTATGCTAGAAAAATAAGGACTTAATGACTCCATTATTGAAGAAATATAAGCGCGCTGCGTTCCATGAAGTTGTTCACTGATGAGGCTTCCCATAAAAATTGTTCCAGGATAAAAATCCTAATGAGTTTATACCTTCAGTTTTAGTCCAAGCTAATTATTGCAGACAACAGGTGCACGCTCGGCAGCCCCTCAACCTACCGCTGCTTCTGATATTTTTATCAGTTGGGGCGGAAATTTTTAATTTTTTTATGTTTTTGGTCTTACTTTTACCATGTCCTCGAAAAAAGCGTAATTAAAAACTAATATTTGATTTTTACATTGTTTGGCTATGTTATGAGCAAGTAAACTAATAGTTTTTCATGTATGCGTGAAATAAAAACTTATTTCTGACAATTTTTTAAAGTACATGATAACATTTGAATACTAATTTTATTAATAATAATTGTTTTCATGTAAGCTACTCCAATTAGCCAAAATTACTATCATCTGGTTCGCGAATTATAATGAGATAAGGAGCATAAATAAAACACTGTTAGGATCTAGAATTTTATAATCCATAATTGATTTCAAAAGATGATCAAAGAAGATGCCTCATCGCAGGTCAAGAAATATGCTCTCAGCTCGCTAATGGCAGTCACTTCTGGCATTATGGACATTTTATTCCAAATTTTTTTCGGCGCCTTAACGTATTTTTTACAACAATTATAATTATTCACTCGAAACCAATCCGTTGGCTGAGCAACCGGTAATAAATGTGGCCAAATAACTGCGCTGAATGTCAGAATTCGAGAAGCGAACCTTCGTGAGCGAGAGTTTTCCCGTCTCCCCTATTTACCTGTTGATGTTTTAGGCGATCTTTGAAATAGGCGATTTTTGTATTTCTTCGAATTTTTAGGCGATCTTTATATTTCTTCGTGCGGTGGAATTATCTATATTAGTGTCAAAAGTATTAAAAACATAACACTAAGCACCGATGTTGAACCGAATTATTTTTGAATCACGCGGTTGTTTTTCAACTGATCTTAGGAAACTGTTGGTCACTCTTCATGCGCTTATTGAGTTCGTATTTCGGTCGCAATGAGTCATGGTTGCGTCATGCGCGGGCCGACAAAAATATGAATATAGATGAATTTGCTATAGGAACTATTCCTCTTATAGATAAGAATCTTGGTTTTCTTCCAGTTCAATCTTCCTGTTAGTAGCAAATTCACTTATTAACACAAGAGAATCTTCGTATTCTATTTACAGCTAGCACGTGGAAAAGTAAATAACTGCCTTGTGTATTACATGTGACCTGTGCCGAACATGACCTGCTCAGGTCGACGTTCGAAGCCTCAAATAGCCTGGCGAGATAATAAGGAGGTCCTCACAAGTCGATGGCTGTGCCTGGCGGCCTGGGATAGCCCCCTCATAATTCACAGCTCGCCTGTGACACCAAACTTCCCCTCGTGCGAGCAGAGATCTGACGCCACATTCTGTGTTTAAGAGAATATGAGTTTGCGATTTTATGGCATCTTGAAGTCTGGAAGTGCGTAAAATTTTGCCGCTCATTTTGGTCTTGCTTCGCGTGCAAATTTAACATACCTTAATTATTGTTGACTTACGGCGTAAGCAAATTGTTCTGAAAATTAATGATTTGCTGCATATGCATTTACTCGGATGCAGCTGTTTTCCAGGCTTCAGAAAACTTGTACGTGCATTTCTTCTCCACCATCAAGACTTTTAACGCATTAATTTCGCTTCGCCGTGAACACTGTGACGTACATTCACTCATGCGTTCACTCTTAAAGTGCACAATTTTACTGCACCCAATATGACGTGGCGCTCGTGCCATTCTCGTGACTTCTGCGGGCATGTTGTCTATGCACTTTTATGAGCGTTGAAGATTCACTGCATATTAAATTCTGCCGCCTCTTCAAGAGCTTCCGCACTTGCAAATATTTGAGAATTGAAGACTTGCCTTTTATGCAATGTTTCCTTCATCTTCTGGAATTTATCCCATGCAAGTTATTTGAACGCGCGTGTAATTTTGACTTTCCTCTGCGAAATTTCCGGCATTGACGAATATCTCGAGACTAAAGCTGTTTGGACAGCTTAGCTCCAGCTGTTTAGCTTGCAACGGATCTAATTTTGCCCTTAGGTAATTTTCCTTAACTTTGAAAACTTGGCGCTGATGAAAAATTTGCCTTACCTTGAAGACCAGTCGCACTTGTAAATTGATGAACGCTGAAGAATGCTTCCCCAACAATAATTAAAGTTCGCTTTGCAGATTCGTCAAAATATAGAGAGGTTTATATATATAAACTCATTTCGACATTAAAATTCTCGCTAACTGTGAGGACTTACTTGAAATGTTATATGGATGATGTTGCAAGCTAATTTGCGTGCCTCAGATTTATGTTGTTACAGATTATTCCAGGAATGCCGTACATAAATATTTAAAATCTAAATTGGCTTTATTTTTCCAACTTCATTGTGTGATTTACTTAACTCAATGTCATCACAGTTTTTTGATGCACCACACTATGAGCACCTACGGGATTTACCAGTATTAAACACATATTTACTTTATTTCGTGGCCTAAAAAGTTTAAAGTGCTTAAAATCACTAGCACTGGCTGGCAATATTTATATATTGACAGCCAGTGTATTTATTCAATTATTTTTCATGAAGATTCCCAACGATTATTCAGTCGTACAGCGAATCTAATTGTGCTGATCCTTGGAGATTTAGAGCTGTTGATATTATTGCTCTACTTTGATGGCTTTCTGCTTGTACACTCGCGCTGCTCACATGAAGACCTTACATGCTCCTCAATATTGTGCAGATTTGCGAGGATTTACTGGAACGAATTGACCGACGCGACGATACGACGCCCTTGGGCTTTTTGCTGATTTCTAGTGTTCACTAATGTAGCCGATTTGTGGCTCGGAAGAGCTTCTATAGACATTGATTGAACTCGTGCAGTAAGGCTCCCTTCACTGCGGTACAAAACAAGAAATTCTATTTATGCTTGTTTGTGCTTAGGAAGCACCAAATCATGTAATTTTAATTTCTCTGAAGTCTTTATTTACGAAATAAGTTTAGAAAGCCAATTCAATATTTCCGAAATAGTTTTTAAAGTTCTGTTTGATTCAACGGTAATTAAGTACGTTCATTCCCTGCCCTCCTATAAGGAATTGATCTAAGGAAAGAAAAATGCACTTATTTTTACTCATAATTTATCTCGATTACCAATAATGCTAGAGCGATCAGCTGGCCATAATGGGCCGCCAGTATTATGACCACCGGAACAATCTATCTCGGCACAGAGTGAAATTAATACAGTTTTATTAATTAATTAAATTAATCCAGTTTCCAACCAACAGCTGCTACCGCTTTACAACAAACAGCTTTGTTCCTAGCAATTGGGTGGCTTCTCTGCCATGATGAAGACGATTAGCTGCTACGCTATTTTTCTACATACACAAATTTTTTGATTGTGTCTAATTTTTAAATGCTTGAAGTTAAAGATATCGGGTCGGCAAAATTTTAAGAAACTGAAGTTGCTGGAAGGAGCACGGCAGCTGACGCGAGCAGGTTCTTGTTTAGACCAGGTCAAGCATTCGTTTTTGAGTTATAGATGCTCATTGTACCTAAAATTACAAATGGGAGGGGAAAATCATGGCTATTCAAGATTTGGTTTTGTATTAAATATATTAAAAATAATTACACGTATGTTTCGGAAACAATTTATTCCACTTCATTTTATACATTTTGATAATTTATTTCATTACAAAAAATTCTCTTCGATCACGAAACTGTTTTTGAAAGACTACTAAAATTCAAGTGAGGGAGCTTCAAGCTGATTTAATTAATTGCATACAATCAAGGTCATGTGGAATTTCCATTGAAGTAAACGTTTATGAAAGTAAATTCCAAATTACATTGTGTTTCACAGAAATTTAAGAGCCCACCTTGGAAATGTATTTAACAAAAGGTTTCCGTAGAAAATCCGTCCATCAATGCATATGGCATGAAAATTCATAAACTCGGCTGCTGGCGTGATCGATTTCTTAATAATAATAGCGGTTTCAGCGTTTATTAGGCCGTAGGCCTGTCGCCGATTCTTAACATCGCAGAACATTCACAGCATTTTGAGGTCTCGAACTCGCAACGCACTGCTACAATTCTGCTGTGCTTAACCGCCCGGCCGCCTTGCCGATTCTGACCAGAAACTGGCGCACAGAGCTGGGATCGAACCCGCGACTCTCAAGTGCGTCAATCTTGGTACTCTGAACTTTAACCACTGGGCCACCCTGCCCATAGGGCATCTTGTTTTTTTTTTCACAGAACTTCAACATCAAAGTTTTGAGATATGAGAAGTCCGAGATATGAGCAGCCAGAGACGGCCAACAGTATTCATCCAAAACTGTTGAAAATAAATGAAAAGTGATAAATCTGAAGAAATATTATGAAGAATTCCGATCCCAAATTTTAAATTACTTTAATATTTCTAATCCTGCCGGGCGATATTTTCCCCTTCGTGTTTTTCCTCGCGGAAAGCCATATTGCAATCCGGTTGATTAAATTAAAGTTCATGAAATAGAAACAGCTCTTAAAATATGGAGTTAATTTCTTCACTGAATGATAAAGTTTTACTCTGTTTTTTACTTATATTTTGTTGAATTTTGACCTTTTTTTCTGCAGTTCTCAATAGCTGCCTGACCCTGGATAGTGAAGCTGCGATGACAGCTACGGCGAATCTGGGATAAAAGATTCACAGCTATACCTTCTCCCTAAATTTTCTTACTAAGGCAACTTATAAATGAGTCGTAAAAATTAACTTCTTCCAATATGAAGGCCGCCGAAAGGCATCGCCCCAGTATAATTGCTGTGGACTATAAATACCACCTCAGTAATCTGCTTGGCTAAGAACCATAATAAGTTGACAAAATTGACATATTTCGGGTGGTTATGTTCACATGACCTCACGTGTTGTGCGCGGCTATGAATTTTAACTGCGACTTGAGAAATGCATAATATTCTGCACAACAAAAGAAATGTTATCTGTGTCGCAAAATAATATGTGATGATGAATTGTTAAAATACTTGTCCACAGAGAATTAAATGTATAGACATAGTTCAGATGACGGTAATCATTAAAAGGCAAATGGGCAATGGAAACATTGCGAACGCCATAGTAGACCGTAGCTACATATCTCTTCCTCGAATGTTTGACCTGCATGCACATTATTATGCGAAAAAAATGTAATGCAAAAAAAGAATATTCATTAAATGAGTTTTAACTAACCATCTCAACATTTTTTTCAGTAAACAACTCTGAACTAAACAGCAGCATACTTTCTTATTCATTCTATATATCTATGATATGCAACTTGTTTAGCATTTCGCATGAAATATACTGTTGCGTTCTCTATAGAGGCAATTGATTCATAAAAATGAGAGAATTCTCCGAAAGTATGGGGCGAGTCTGTAGCGAGTAAGTCGCACAAGCAAAGAGACTGTAACTCGGACAACTAACCTCCCGCCGGTCGAAGATGGATGGCAGGGAACGGCCCTCTCTTTTATTTTCGTATCTTAGACTGAAGGCAATTAAAGGAATTAAATTTAAGTTTTTAGCTAATTTTACTCCTATTTTTTCTAATAATTTATTCATGAAAATAATTCAAAATCAAATGATACAATGACTCAAAATTGCAAAAATGAATATACATGTTGGTTATGTTGTATTGATGAAAATGATATCAATTAAATTATATTTCACATATTTTGTAAACTTTAAGCGTTTTCATCTGCCAACAGATCCCAATTGGCAACGCTCTGATGGCTGCAAGCGTGTACATCGTTGTGGGCCTCAGCATCGACCGCTTCGTTGCGGTTTGCTATCCTCGCAAATACCGCAACCTCTACAGACACCACGTGGCCACCGTCAGGATAGCCATGTCCTTTGTGGTGGCGTTCATTATCTACATCCCGATGATGGTGTTCCACCAGCGAGTGGAGGAGGCTGAGGGAAGTAGGGATCTCTACTTGGCCAAAGACAGGCATGACGTTCGCAACTCTCCACTCTTTATTGCCTACGCGTGTCTCTTGGAACTTTGCGCCAGGTAAAAGATGACTATAATCTCAATATCATTATTAAATGCACTAGTTTATCATTCATTCTAATTAATAAATTTTATTGAAAGTCGTTCGTCAAAATTCTCTATAACTGAAAGAGGAAACCGCTTATGAGTAATGGCAACTATATGATAATGGGTTCATTGGAAAAGTTTCATATAGGCAAGAGGTAAACTTTACGCCATAATTTTAGACATGATGTGTACTTTTTCTTACTTATACTTCTACTTTACGTACTTCTACTTTACGCCACGAATTAAAGGAGTAAAATGCTAATACCTGCTTCGTTGTGGTAAATGACGTCGTATGGCTTAGTATGAGGTACTCTGAGCTGTCAGACTTGGCTATTGGTTCGGCACTGCCTCGTTACGAAGCTATCGGCTGCAGTTAATGGAATCAATCACGACTTTGCCGTGCTGCGCTAATGAAATCTTTAGCGACTCTGACCTTCAGGGACTGATGAAACTTATCGAACGCTCCTGCAGCAATAGCTTTTACGAAGACATTGTTTAGCTGAAAATTTCATATGATGTTAAATATAATGCAATTTTTTTAAATCTTAGCACTTGTATTCATGGCTAAAAAATCAATCTTTAAAATTAAAGTATCATATTTTCTTTATAAATAAATGTCTCTGCTGACGAATGTCTATGTGGATAAATTTGTCATTCATGTTCACAGGTTGGCTCCCGCGTTGATGCTGGCTTACCTAAATTCTCGCATCATCATCGAGTTCAAGATGATAAGTGCGCGACGCAAACTCCTGTCGCAGGGCATCGGCTGCTCCGAGGTGTCGGGGTATCCCTCGCCATCTGCCAACGACCACAGCCTCGCCGCCCCCCAAAACGACGACAACGGGAGCCCCCAATACCAAACGACATCATGTGCACTTCAACTAAAATCCATGGAAGAGCGAAGTGGATTCTTTCTATATCATAACGAGGATCTAGGACGAGAAGGAAATGGAGTTGACAAGCGATGTTTCCTTAATAACCAGCTGGTCGATGAACATTTGCGGGATCACATTAGTGATAAGGTAGAAGTTTGTGATGACAATATTAATCCACCAGGGCTTCTCGAAACAGACCTTGATGCTGTACAGTGCTTGCCGCCAACTCCAATGCATTCAAAAATTGCTGCAAAACCCATGCAACTCGTGAATATCGAATCAAGATTTGAAAAAGAACACCGAAAATCTATGGCACTCAAATCGTATACAATGTCTTCACCTTTAGAGTCCGAAACATCGTTGTTCAAGGGAATCAGTGCAGTTGTTGCTGGTGGAACGCAATCTCCTTGTGACACTGCAAGAGACAGTGCTTCCCATAACCTGCATCTTGATATCAGTGCCCCGGCAACATCTCCCTCAGCTCCCAATTCTTTAGAAGTCGGGCAGCAGCGCGAGGGCAGCGCTTTGCTGCTCGAGGCGGTGATTGATGGCACAGCAGGAAGCAAGTGTGGCCATGAGGCGCAGAAGAAGACCGCCTCCGGCGTCGATAACGGAGAAGCCATTGCCATGATCTCCTCAGGTTAGGTTTCGTTTATTGAGTCAGTGCACTTGAATAACTTTTATTTTGAACTTTGAAAGCAGGCTGTCTATCAACAGATGAATGGTTGACCATTAATTTTGTGGTTTATACATTGGAATTATGTCGTATAATTATCAGAGCACGCATGCGGTTACTGAATGCACAAGGTTTGATTTTAGTTAATGAGCTCCAAGTTGAAATGAGCTACAAATTGAGTGGCTGACAATCTAAACTGGTTGAGTTTTCTTGTATATGCATGTAAGTACACTGAATAACTATCTAGAATTGAAGAGTTTTATCAAGAATTTCAACCATACCTTCTATCGCCAAATTTTTCTCTATTGTTACTCCTTCTCAATTTACTCTCGTTATCTCACCTCGGCGCATTGGTTACAGGTCGCTGTCTACAAATGTCGTCTTCAGCGATACGTAAAGGTGAGCGTCGTCACGACAGGGAACGTCGTCTCGTGCTACTGCTCGTCTCCATCATAGTCACCTTCTTCGTGACAAATATCCCAGCAGCCATCCTCTCGCTCATCACCTACAAGGACTCATACAGACAAAACTTGGGCTTCCAAATTTTCCGAGCCGTGGCCAATAACCTAGAGTTCCTAAATTACGGCCTTAGCTTCTTACTTTACTTTCTGTTCAGCAAGGACATACGGGGCGTTTTTGTAACTCTCTTAAAAACGGCCATTAAATCTATTGGAAAGACGCTTTATAAAGGGCGTAGTAGTAGCGGACGAACGTCTGCTAATTTGTGATAAATGATCAATCCACTTCCAAGACGTACACTAATGAGTTGCACTAATTGTGCAATATGTAAGCTAATGAGTAGATTTACAGAGGAATAACTTAACAGTGTCTCAGTAATTAGTTGTTCAATTGAATGGTATGATAAATAAGTATATATATTTTGTGTTACAAATTGAAGTATTGTAGTATCAAATATATGATCAATGGAACGTTCTTGCATATTGGAATAATCGAGCTTAATTGGTAAATTGTGAACATGGCTTCCATGTTTGTATACGCCATTATTATAAAATTAATTAGCTATTTTTAAAATTGATTATTGAATTATTTTTCTCTGTTTTAGAATCTTAGCCCTGCTATCGAAAGCCATGAATAAACATATTTTGAAACTGCATTTCGTCCTTTTGTAGCCTGACATTAAAATTAAATAGAGGTGGATTGAATGCGTGCATGGTTACAATTCTCATGTCATATAGGGATATTACTCAGATTTTAATTTTTACTTTTTACGAAGATAATCCCACAGAATAAGAATGTCTGCCTTGATAAATTCTTGGAAATTCAAGGCAGAGAAATTCAAGACATTCTTAGAAGAGAAGTCTTGGAAATTCAAACAAAGGCTGCACGAAGGAACACAATGATTAATATTTCGATTTCAATGATGCGAGTAAAATTACGAATTTGAGCTGCACGAATTCAGAGCGCAATTGGATAATGAAAGAAAATTGTTAGTATTCATTACCATTTATTGAGAGCTTAGGATTGTTCTATAAGCGATAATATATGACTTTAAATGGAATCTTGAGGCCTTCCCGAGATGGTTGTCAATATAAGGCGCTCTCCCGAGCTGCTGTGATGTCATGCAGCTCCTCTACGAAGCATTCGCACTTCTCTGAAAAGTTTTGTTCACGGAATTAAGTTTATTATGTAAAAATTTCGAAGTATTTTAACTTTAACTCTAGCTACTGATAGTGATATATGATAGCATTGATAGGTAATGTTAATTTTGGTGTTACTGCAGCAATGAGTGATTTTCTCACGCAGATTTAGAGCTGCAGATTGTACAATTTTCCGTGCTTTAGTCAAGGGGCAAGGACAATCCTGTCAGAGAGCAAATGAACGTTATTTTGGAAAGGTTGGTAAATGGAACATGCATGAGTTTAGCTAAAAGCTACGTTTTTTAAGTTATATCAGGTATTTTAGGCTATTAAGCGAAAAAATTGGTCGCTGACTTCTAATGGTTCGCTTGGCCAGGTTGCCAAATCTTTGGCATCGAAATAGGGAAATTGAATTGAAATAAGGAAAGGGAATGATCGTCATTGCATTTCAAGGCAGGGAAATTCAAATGGGAGGCTTTGCATGACCAAGTGCACTTAGAAATCAACGAACTCCAGACTATAGATTCGAGAATCAACGGAATGCATGTGTCCCAATAAACGAAATTTATAGTTTTGTCCCTGATTATGTTATTATGTTTAATTTATAAAGTTCTATTGCTAATTTCCATCATCACAGAGCTATGTTATTTTGTAAGCTTGAAATTTGATTAAAATTTGAAAAATGCATGAAAATTTTCGAGGTAACTGTTATTATAAGGAATTTAAAAGCAAATAAAACTGCAAGCAAATTTACCATATCGATATTGAAATTTAAACGTTTCGGAGTCCAGCTCCATCACCAATCTACAAAATGAATACAATCATTATATAATTAAAAATTCCAAGTCAGACATTGAAACCTAAAAAGACATAAAAACAAAACAACCTTAAATCGAAAACCAGTACTCGCGGAACACAGAGTCATAGGAGGCACGAAACGATTAAAACTTAAAAAACACTAAAACATAAAAGCCAAGAGATTCACTATTTCCTAGGCATGGCATGCTAAATTACTTGTGCGCGTGCGATTTAGCAGACTGGTAATATAAGACTTCTTTTCATCCGTGGGATTTAATAGAAACGCTAAAAATACAGTATTTAATCAATTTTGATGGGCACAACCGCGAAGTATGCGTCACGTAATTTTATACTCCGCGCATAATATTTATATCTGGTTACATGGGTGTAATGGGAGAGCATAGTTAGCTCAAATCGATTAATTAGCTACGATGAAAAAAATTATACTACTTAAATTTAAGTTTCCGAAGATTTACAACATTCTGTTTATATTTTGGCGAATAATGAAAAATTGAAAAGGAAGGAACCGTAACCAATCAAGTTGTAAATCGTGGTATGAATCATCAAGCATTTCAAACACGATCATATATATACAAATCCTAATCCTAATTTTCACTTACTAATATACATCTTTATGATTTACGGGAAAGTTATTTAACCTGTGATGTCTATGTTAATGCAGACACTCTTCTTAACCCGAAGCGTCCACATAAGACGACACCAAATCGATGCGACCATTGACGTCGTCAATTCGATGTGCATATCACACTCCAAATCATTGAGCTCGACACGTGGCTTATATAGAAGCCGTTATTCATGCAGGCTACTCGACTTGCTTACAGGCTGCGACTAGAACTTCAGGGTCAACAAATTTCCCTCAAAATTAACAGTCAGTAACATCACAATAATAAATCAAGGAGTGAATATTGAAGCACAGGTCGACATAATATCGCATTAGTACACAAAAACAGTTATGAACCTTAGATATCACCATTCACTGCGTTACAAAAAACACGCGAGCTAGCACTAGGTGGCGGACCAGCATGAAGCCAATGTGTAGGGGAGTCGTCAGCAACTCATCGTCGCGTTTTTCTTATCTTACAAACTTCCAAGTACGTAAATCAAATGTTGACGACTAACCCTCGACATCCATGAATTATCAAGCTATTAACATTTCGTGCTCTTCGGTACTATTGAAACGTCATTGCCGTCTTTTGGATACCCCACTTTGAATTTGACAAGCTCACTTAAACAACAATCTTGCCCAGTGCAACAGACTAGAGTAAGCTATGGAAAAATATATGTTCAGACTTGAAATGCAGAGCGCCATTTCGAACTCGATGGAATTCTAATAACTATTTTGTCAGTTTGGAAAATGTCCGGTTTAAGGACCTGTTATTAGATCTCCTGTTGACAAGTCACGAAAAGTACAGAATCGGCGACAGGCCATATCAAGCCTATTCTTCAACGCCGACCTATTCTTCAGGCCTATTCTTCAACGCCGACATCACTATGCTATGCTATCATTCTCATAAACTCATTCTTTTCCCCTTAATGTCAGGTTTGTAATGTAAGCCATCAAGACCTCATCTTATTCATGTAGTGCGACGAAAACCGCACTAATAGGCCTTTCAATTTCTAGATCTCAATAAGAAAAATACCGAGCAACATTATTATTAAAGGAATAATATACGTTTAAAAATTACTTTTTAAAGACAACACTTCCAAAGAATCCAGTGTCTCCAATCTTACAGATGTACAATGAATTTCTCATTTAATTTTCGAATAATAAAAAAATTAATTTTTCAATTTTTTTAATATATAATTTTTTAATATATATGTATATTTTTTTCAAAATTATTTATTCTATTAATTGATTCATGCATTGCCTCTGACTTCACACAAGTGTGCAGAATTTCAGATCAATTAGAAAGGTAAAAAGTGTGTCAAATATCAGTTATAAGATTTGTAGCTGTCAAAATTATTCTTTCAATTTTATTAATATTGAAAAATGTTTTTTTTTCAATTTTGAAAATCATTTATTTTGAAATTTGATTCATGCATTGCCTCCAACTTTACACAAGTGTGCAAAATTTCAGATCGATAGGATAAGTAGAAGAGTATTAAAATTTCGATTACCAGATTTGTAGCAGACAGACAGCCAGACAAACAAACAGAAAAGAAGTGAAGTTAAAGAGAAGTGTTGTAGAAAAAAAACTTACTATTATAAAATGACATTTAGTAATTAGCAATGTCGTTAGTTCAATTTCTGCCTAGAGAAAAAATAGACGACGAGTGAATGGCTAATACTGCTAATTTCAATAATACCATCAGTGCACGAGCTGCAGTTTACCATGCGGTGCTCTGAAATCATACCTGAATGTACTGCCCGGTGACTAATATTTCTTATCCTTTTCCGTTCTCGCGGATTAATACACGGCGACATCTTGCTCAATTCGCTGTTTTCTGACTTTTCTCGATAAATTCTTATGACAGACTTTGCGGTCGATTTCCGGTTCGAGCTGCGGTCGACGACGGTCGTAAGTAAGTTCCTAAGCCTACATCTTTAATTTCAATTTTGAAACTCGTGATAACTGTGTTCTTGAACTCTAAGAATTAATCAATAGCGCGACATTTTATTATTATTTTCTATTTTTCTATATTATTCTATTCTATTATTTTATTCTATTCTATTCTATTTGCAACTGCCACAACTCGAGGAGGCTCAAGTTAGGAGATCGCAGTAATTAAACCAGAACTTGCAGGCTACATAAGAACTTTCGTGCAGTGCCCAGTCCATATATATAAACCCCTACCTCATTCGATCAGAGAAGATCTAAGGAGAGTATACCGCGCAAACTATTCAATGGAAAACATTGATAACGAAGTTGGGCTTCTTTTTGAAGCAAGTGCTTTGTTTTGCTTTGTGGTACATTGCTTAACTATAGGTCCTGTTTTAGAGATCATGTTCTTGAAAAATGGCCATTTCCAACGTAATTTTCTTCGTTCTTATGCTGGAAAAATAAGCACTTAATGACTCCATTGTGAAGATATATAAGCGCGCTGCGTTCCATGAAGTTGTTTACTGATGAGGCTTCCCATAAAATTGTTCCAGGATAAAAATCCTAATGAGTTTATACCTTCAGTTTTAGTCCAAGCTAATTATTGCAGACAACAGGTGAGCGCTCGGCAGCCCCTCAACCTCTTGATGCTTCTGATATTTTTATCAGTTGGGGCGGAAATTTGTTAATTTTTTATGTTTTTGGTCTTACCTTTACCATGTCCTCGAGAAAAGCGTAATTAAAAACTAATGTTTGATTTTTACATTGTTTGGCTATGTTATGAGCAAGCAAACTATAGTTTTTCATGTATGCATGAAATAAAAACTTATTTCTGACAATTTTTTTAAAGTACATGATAACATCTTAATTATAATTTTATTAATAATAATTGTTTTCATGCAAGCTACTCCAATTAGCCAAAATTACTATCATCTGGTTCGCGAATTATAATGAGATAAGGAGCATAAATAAAACACTGTTAGGATCTAGAATTTTATAATCCATAATTGATATCAAAAGATGATCAAAGAAGATGCCTCATCGCAGGGCAAAAAAAATGCTCACAGCTCGCTAATGGCATTCGCTTCTGGCATTTAGGACATTTTATTCCAATTTTTTTTGGCGCCTTAACGCATTTTTTTACAACAATTATAATT